TGGCCCAAGGTTGCTCAAGGAGAAATTTCCTGACAGTTAGAACAATTCATCAGTGGAACAACTTCCCTCCAGAAGTTGTGAATGCTCCAATACTGGAAGTTTTAAAAAAGATGTTGGATAACCATTTGTCTGAAATGGTACAGGGTTTCCTGCCTAGGCAGAGGATTGGACTAGAAGACCTCCAAGGTCCCTTCCAACTCTGTTATGCTATTCTTCTTTTTTTTCAAACAGTTTTTATTATTTTCCACCAGTACAAATCGTAATTACATTTTCAACAGCACTCGGTATTATCTTAACAGCATTCGGTATTATCTTATATTTCCATCATCTATTCGTACATATAACTAGTAATTATTATCTTTACTTATCTTTACTATTAATACCTAGCTTTATCTATTTTACCTATCTACATATCTATGTATCACTCTCTTAAAAATTCTCCTATGTAGTCATCTTTTTCAATTCTTATCTCTCTTTTCTAGCCACTTGTACCATCTATGTCAAACTGAGTAAGAGTCAGATTCTTCTTTTTCCTTTATTTTTAGTGTGAGCATATCCATTTCTGCGTAATCTGCTATTTTTTGTAGAATTAATTCTTCTGTTGGGACCTTATGCTCTTTCTGCATTTGCGCATAAACTATTCTGGCTGCTGTCAATATGTGTAACATTATATATTTTATCTTTTTCAGATATTGTTTTTTGATTATCCCCAGTAAGTAGAGTTCCAGTTTGAATTCAATTTGATGTCCGGTAATTTCTTGTATCCAATTTTTAATTTTGGTCCAATAAGTCCTTGCCTTGGGGCAGAGCCACCACATGTGATAAAAGGTACCGTCAACTTGTTCACACTTCCAACATTTTGGGCTGGTATTTGGATATATCTTAGTTATATATCTTAGCTATATCTGTTATTCTATTCTAACTGGCTTCATGACTAAGGCGGGACTAGAACTCCCGGTCTCTTAGCTTGTTGCCTTAATTATTACACCAAACTGGTTCCATACTACAGCTAAAACGCATATGTAAACATGTCCATGAAGTTACCAAGAATCAAGCATGAATCAAAGGAGACATCCATTTAGAAATAACTTTCTGATATCCACATGAATGTACTTTTTTTAAAAAAAATTAACACATATACTTGTAGATATTTTGAATTATAAGCAACTTGGGGGAAAAGCAAAACACACAGAGAAAACAGCAATTACATGAAACGCAAAGTTTCTGATCTTTTGGAGAAATGCACCCCTATTTTAAATTCATATTCAATATTTCTTTCCTAGCAGTTATTACATAAATAGAGTCGATGTATTAATATTACTTTGTTAACCTAACTAAAAACCAAGAATGAATGAAATGAATTTTAATTAAAGCCATCTTCAAGAATTTTTGCTGCTGGGTTTGTTTTTCAACCATGGTTATTTTCCACAGTTTTAGCAATCACTGATCAAAAGAAATAAGTAATTTGTTTTCCAGTGTTTTACCAGGATCAATCTGGCTGGCAAAAAAATAAAATCTAAATTAATTTCATGTATCCTATAATTTTATAAGTTCTGGAAAAAATAGGTCACAAAATGACATTATCATTAATTATTGAAGACTGTTAAGCAATATTTTCCATTTCCCCCTAAATTTCCAAACCAAATGAGTAACTAACTGGACAAAGCTACCAGGAACATTCAGCATTATTTAATGCCATCTCAATCCCTCCAGCACCATTTACTAAGCCTTTGATTAATACAATGCAGTTTTATGTGAATTTCAGATAAACTATACATTTTTTAATAGCCAATTCTTCTTTTATGCTTCAAGCCTACAGGCCAATTGGAATAATTAAAGAATTTGATTTTTAGAAATTCTACTTTGTAAAGGATGGACTAATGTGCAAATGATGGCTTAGCGATGCATCTTATTTTGTAGTTCCCTCAGTTCTTCACTGCAGCTTTCTACGGTCTAAACACATCAAAATAGGACTCCATACTGCTCACCTAGCAGTTCGAAAGCATTAATAGGTACCACTTCCATGGGAAAGTAACAGCATTCCATGTGCCTTTGGCATATAGACATGCTGGTCACCAAATATTGTATTATCGAGATCTTATAAAATATTAAACTGAAATATTGTTGTTTTGCTACTTTACTGTTTGTTCTACCTTTCCTGCCTGCCCTGGTTTATAGACGGCATTTCACATTATTTAAAATGATCGCCTTTAATCTGGAAAGGTACCCTATTTGCACTTCTAGAGCATATCTACAAGAGCAGTTCATGTCACAGAATCTGGGGACTAAGGAGGACAATTCTGGTGAATTATTCAAAAATGATACATGAATCCTACTCAGATTTTCCAGTGCAGCTTCACTCACGATTTGTACCAAGGGAATAGATGTGTAGCTTATGCAATGTCTCCCTTCTTGCAATTTCATACAATTATTCTTTTCCACTTCATTTTTTTTTAAAAATTGCATTGAGGTGAAGAAAATGTTGTTCAATTGCATTGCTGAATTGCCATTGTGTTTCTTTTTACTGGGTATGTTTTATATATTTTTCCTAAGTAAGCCTTTGAGAGTCATTTTGATTGTGGCAGTATAGAAATATATCTAATAAATGTTCCTGGGAGAACAGATCTCAGGTCATTTTATGAATCAAAGTCTTTTCAAAAATACGATAAAAATAAGCTAATCTTCTATCCATATATTTCACTTTTATAGCAAAATGTTTTTGTTTTTAGAGATCTTAGTCCCCAAGTAAATTTTCTGAATTATTAAGAGCATAGTGTCAACCTTGAAGCTGATCTGGCCGGAGCCATCTTGGAGCTTCATTGATGCTGCACTGGAGCCAGGGATAGGGAAAGGGGATTAGAGATAGCTGAGGTTGTGAAGTCTCAATAAAATAATTTTTCTTGGGAACCAAAGATGTTCTCACACCTGGCCAGAGGAAGGAGGAGTGATGTCACCAGACCAGTGGAGTCAAGCAAAAGACATGCACCGGAGTCTTCTCTGCTTTTAAAAATAATTTAAGAAAGGAATGTACTTTAGGTAAATGAGAAGCAATTTAAATCTTTTTTAGATTTAGGGATCTTTTGTAGAAGACAGCAACTTCACCTCCTCCTCTACGGATTTCGCAATCTGACCGACAGACGTGATATTCGCTGACTGTGGTAATGGAGTCTGGAAAAGATGCATTTAACCATGTCTCACAGACAAATATAATGTTGAATGTGGTCGTGCCTAATAAGTTGAGGAATTCATGCATTTTGTATATCACCAGGCTTGAGATTTTGGGCTTGGACAACCTTGAATGGTTAGACTTAAGCGTAGCACATAAAATTATCTGCTACAATGTCCGCTTCAACCACAACAATACAAGAGCACACAACAGACACAAACTCAGTGTAAACCACTTCAAACTCGATTGCAGAAAGTACGACTTCAGCATCAGAATGGTCAGTGCCTGGAATGCACAACCTGACTCTGTTGTTACATCCTCTAACCCCCACTCCTTTAACCTTAAACTATCCATTATTGACCTCTCCCCATTCCTGAGGTCTGTAAGGGGTCTGCATAAGTGTACCATCGTGCCTACCATCCCTGTCCTATTGTCCCCATTTATTCGTACCTATTTCCTGTATTGTTACTCATGTTTATACTTATATCTATTATCTTGTAAGTGATTGACAAATAAATAAATAAAAATAAAAATAAACTGAGTTGGTTGCTTCCAAGAAGTGTTTTACAATTTCTCACTCTAGCCTATACCCCTGGCAGTTTTAAAAGCTCCAAGCATTAGACCCAGCTTAGCTTTCTGAGACTACTGGAAAAACATAGTAAATGTTACAAAAATCACAAAAGATGGAGAAAAAAAGAGCAGCCTGCTTCTCCTTTTTTAGATGAGTTCTGTGTGGCTGCAGAGGAAACATAGAAGGCAGAAAGAAACTAGAAGCAATGAAGGATTAGAAGGTGGAGCTACATCAAAAATCTATCTCTTCTTTTCTTTTAGTTACAGCCAATGAAGAATTCCAATTCCTAAGGCCTTTTTAAAAGGAACGTTGAAATCCTATGAAACTCACATTCACTTTCCTGATGTACTAAGCTGCACCTTTATACATGAAACATGTTATCTTCCAAAGAGTTATGGTGCCTGTGAGTAAAACAATGTCTCCTGAATTTGGAATCTCAGCAACCGCATGCTGAATCCAACAGAAAGTTGGACTAGAAAGTTATCGATGGAGACCTATGAAATTCTCAATCATCCAGGACATGGTTATCCCAAAAGTACTTTTCCAAAAGGCAAATGGATTTCCTTGTTTTTTTTTTTCCTTTGAAAACATTTTGCTTCTCATTCAAGAACCTTCTTCAGTTAGAGTTAGAACAGAAGAAGCTTTCTGGATGAGAAGCAAAACATTTTCAAAGAAACAAACCAAGGAAGTCCAGTTGTCTTTTGGAAAAGCACTTTTGCAACAACCATGACCTGGAGAATTGAGAATCTCCATAGGTCTCCATCAATGACTTTCTAATCCAACTTTCTGTTGGACTCAGCATGTAGTTGCTGAGATTCCAAATTCAGGAGACATTGTTTTACTCATAGGCACCATAACTTGGAAGAGAATATGATTCATACATAAAGGTGAAGATTGGTATATCCAAGGTGCCTTCCAGCCCTATGATAGTAATTACTTTTACTTGCATACTGACTTTTATTTTTTAAATCACGTCCTCAATGGGAGTATTTATCACTCTGCAAGAAGTCCAGTAAAACTATTTTTTTAAATCACAGGATGACTCCCTCATTGCAAATTTTCTTTTCATCACTCCTTTAGATAATATCACATCACACACTATTTATTTCTTCCTATCTTCAAACTGCTCCAGGGAATCACATCCATTTTATCAATCCAAACCACGCCCATATAAAACAAGCTACTCATTTATGGCATTAGAAGAAATTAAACACGTGCACATCTATTCCAAAATGAAATACATTTGATATTTTCATACTTTACCAGTTATGTCATGCTGTTTGAACGACTCACTGTAGATTTGATACTGACTCGGGCAATGTTTCTTCAACCACTTGCATACATCTTGCTGCGACCAAAGGGCCACTGGCTTTGTCAACTTTACAATATGAAACTGGAAATACAAAATAAGTTAAACAAAAGTTAAACCGATCATTTTGTTTGCACTTTGCATATCCACCTGCATTTTGTACACTGCCATCAGCCAGGATGGCCAAACCCTGCAGAGCTAAATTTTCTACTTTGCATGAAAAGGTCAAGAATGAAAGGATTATGATTAATCAGACACTTCTTCATGTGGCTAGCAATTAATAAACCATGGATATTAGAGATATTTCAGACTTGGAAGGAAGGTAAAGAAATCTCAAATTCAGTTCAAGTAACTATTTGGGTGATCCGCAAACATCTCAGACTCATCTCTGTGGATTCTTTTTAGGCTACAAAGAAAATATGGGATGCTGAAATATCAGCCTTTGGAAAGCAGATCTCAGTGACGTTAATATAGGAGATGACTAGGCTGAGCCCAAGGGTGGGGTCAAGCACATCATCGGTTTGGAGTCTCTTCCACCCATGAGATCCCTAAATCCAGCCTTCCATGAATTCTGTTGATTCTTATCTACCACCATTTTTCCTTGACCATTAGTAGTTCAGATTCTTGTTGAGAGCTAGCATGGAATAAACTTGTACTCAAATGAACAACCCTGGTTCCTGATTTCTTGTGCCTAACAGTCTTCTCATCCAAAGTCCTTGGAGATAATAGCTTTGGGGAGATGTCTGTCCATCATTCTTTCTCTGAGATTTAGAACCTTCAGGTTCTTACATGCATGGATCTATAATCAGAGTTATCCCCATCTGCTTCATGCACTCGGCAGAATTTGGGAGTGGTTGTCTTTGAGAAAAAGAAGCAGATTGGCCTGAGGCTTTTGCCTTTCCCAAACTGGCAAGCAATGGCCTACTAGCCCTGCTTTTGTGAAATACTGCTGCTGGAACTGTTGAATCATCAAAGCAATGTTAGCTGACTATTGGATAAGTTTTAATTCATTGGGAAACTGATGAAAGGGAAAGCCCAGATGTGCTGAAAAGTTGTGTAGGATCTTCCTACTGAGAAAAATGAAGGAGATATGCTCCTTCTCAGACACACTTGGCATCGGAAATCTGGTTTGCTGTGGAGTAGAGCCTCAGCATTTGACATGAGTCATGAGGCACTGATAGAGTAGATCAGGGGTATCCAACCTTGGCAACTTGTGGACTTCAACTCCCAGAATTTCCCAGCCAGCCATGGACAGTAGTAGACAATACAGGGCTGTTTAGACAAATACTCTGAATCCATAACAGTGCAGTTTCCTTTTATCCTGACTCAGCAAGAACACAAGTAAAAGACAAATGGGTGAAGAAATCTTGCCTGGAATGCACCACGTAAATTCATCAGGGCACAATAATGAAACAAGAGTAGGGAGTGAGCAATGAAAAAGCAATGAAACCAAAACTATGGAAAGTTGCAGAACCATAAAATTTAAGAAAGAAAGGTTAGAAGTTCAGGAAGCTGGTGGGGAGGGAAGTGATTAGGGAGGAATAAGATTTAAAGGATATTTTTTTAATCTCTCTTTTTGGCAATGCTTCGTTGACCAATCTAGTCCCAGATCATCTTAATAAGCTCCTAAGCCAATCTTGGTTGATCTTGGAAAGATGAACAAAATCAGATCTGGTTAATACTAAGGTGGGAGACCATCCAAAAATATTGGGGCTGCAGGAAGTCAAGAAACATTCCCAAAGAGAGCAATAGCAACCCACTTTTGTAAGGCTGCCATTGAGTTATTTGACAAACGTCACTTGAGTTTGGCAACCTGGCTAAAGGATTTAAGGTGGAAGGTCAGTGATTTACAGCCAAGTGATGGTCCTGGCATTCTAGCCATGGCCAAGAACACTGGATTAGAGCCTGGATTTAAACTTGACTCAAGAGTGCTTTTACCTAATCTCAGATCACAAAAGATTATAAAAACGAGTGCCAGTATGTAAATTTGTGCACAGAAATGGACCAGCAGCCAGCACAATTGTTTAAGAATACTAGAAAGGCCCCAATCAGTGCTTAGGGGAAGTAGGGAACCATGCCAAAGGACTAAATATGCATTCATGTTTCCAAGTCTATTTGGGCTGGATTACAGTATTTTGTAGATTAAAGCCATGGAGCAATTAAGCTGCTCTACAACATTATTATTAAGAGTCCATAGAGGACTTCCTGCTTCCTCTTCTTTCCTACACGTAGCAGTTAGAAGAACAAACTTTGTACTTTTAAAGGGAGCCAAGATGCATAATGATGTGCCAATCTCCCCAGACCATTTAAGAAATCATCTCTTTACAAAACAGAGCCACACCTTCCTACGCTGTGGCCAGATGATATGAATTATTGCTGCATTAAACAGCAGGAAGAGGGTGGTAACTGAATATGTAACTGAAGTTGCCAACACATGCAGATTTAATAGTGGAAGAACTCATCTAAACAGCCTGATTTCCACAGCGTGAAGACACCCCACTTACATTTGCCAAGAACATGTCCTCATAACAATGCCTCCATCTCATAAGCACAACCATTTCATTATTTAGGCAGTATAAAGTTAGTCCAAAGTGTACTGATGGTATTTTTCCAGTTAATTCAACTGGAGCCCTATCATTTGGACATTCTAAGCCACACACAAGAGTTGTCTTGGGTGGTGTTCTGACCCAAACCTTGTTCAAGGAAACAAACACGAAACAGAGGTAACAGCAAAACCTTTTAATGATTCTTTACAAATTCCGTTCCTTCACAGTTAAAAGCCTGTTTCAAATGAATTATCTCTGATAAGAACGCCAAGGTGGTGCAAGGCTGCCAAGAACATTAGATAAAGTTACTAAGAACTATTTCAAACATCAACCAAGATATTCCAAACGTCCACAAGGCTTGAGTGCAAAAACTTCTTTGCTTCCTGCAAAGAACTCCGGTTTCTTGGATGGCTTTTATCTCTTAAGGGAGGGGCCATTACTTTTCAGCTTTTTAGTTGCCCATGTGCTGCAGCTGCTCTTTCCTTTGAGCAGTCCTGCTGCGCATACACACACTGGGCACAGGCTCCTCAGGGACCTCTTCATCACTGCTGCCAGCCTCCACAATCTCCGAAGGCAACATTCCACTCCCTGACGGTCCTGGCCCCATCCCTGCATCACATGCAGACCCCTTATCTGAGTCCTCGCTCTCCGAGACCTCAGCCGTCCGCACCTGCTGCTGGTGAACTACAACAGGTGGTTAAAGATCTGCTGGGCTCCAACAGGCCCTCTACGATCTACCTCCTAAATAACAAATTTTGCTGCAGCTGCCCTTCAGTCTTCTACTGTTGTCCTATGACCGTGATGGTGAACCTATGGCACGTATGCCGAAAGTGGCATGCAGAGCCATTTCTGCTGGCACACAAGCCGTCACCTGGAACAGATCCCCCTGCCAGCCAGCTGATTGTCACTTATCTGCCGTGCATGTGAGGTGGAAGATGCACGCGTGGGAGATGTGCACGCATGCACAACTGGGCAGGGTGAGTGTGGGGCAGTCACGCGTGTATGCGCAGAGGTACACAGCATGGCGGGGGTCGCATGTGCAGAGGGGCATGGCATGTGCACGTGGGGGTCACTCGTGCATGCTCAGGGGTGGGGTCATACACTCATTGCATTATGGGTGCAGGCACACATGCACATGCATGCACTTTCAGCACACGATGAAGAAAAGGTTAGCCATCACTGTCCTATGACTTTCTTTTCCAACAAAGAAATGCTTTGTACCCACTGTAGACAATATTATAGAAGGCAACGGTTACCATATGACAGATCTCCCAGCTCTTCTAACCTACAAAATGGCCTCTTGGACCCTGGAGATTCCAAAGATTTGAGTATGGAAGATGGAAGAGAAGATCTGAACACTCTGCTCCCTGGCAGTGCCCCCAAAGTGCCCCCTTTGAATCTATTGGATTCCCTGGCTGAAATCTCAGTGGAAAAAAACCAAGTCAAGCCAAAGCTGTCAACCTACCCCTTTGCTTTGTAAAGAAACCAAGATGGGTAACACAGACATTTTCAACTTCTGGGAGAAAGTCCAATTTAAATGCAAGCCTGGGCTCAAGGGCTAGGATCAATTTTGCTCCAACTAGTCTCCTAAATGAGAACCAGCTTGATGTATTTTTTTCAGGCACTGAATTAGAAACTGGGGGACTCTGAATTCTAGTCCTGCCATAGACACAAAGCTAGCTGGGTGACCTTGAGCCTGTCTCCCTCAAACCCTAGGAAGGAGGCAATGGTAGATCACTTCTGAAACATTGACTAGGTCAGGGACTAGTTCAGCCAGGAGGCAACACTGAAGTAAAGGCATACGCACACACAAACATACACTCACATAGTTCCCTAAACTGACTTGTGCAATATGTACTATGATCTCCCAGGATTTGAAATGGACACCTAACATTAGAACCATCATTAAAAAGGCACAACAAAGAATGTCCTTCCTGCGTCGATTCAGAAAGGCAATTGCAACCAGCTTGCCTTCCACTGAAGACCTGTATACTGCACATATCAGAAAGAAGGCTGAGAAAATATCTACGGACCCCACATATCATGGACATATTTTTCAACTCCTCCCCTCGGGCTGTCGCTATAGGGCAATGCATGCCCAAACAACTAGACATAAGGACAGTTTTGTCCCCATGCCCTCACTCCAGGAGTGGGATTCTACTGGTTCTGTCTACCTCTGTAGAACCGGTTGCTCTGAAGAGCAGCAGACACAGAACCGGTTCTATGTCTGCTGCTGCTTTGGTCCACCCACCCGCCCGGGCTCTTACCTGACCTTTATTTCCTGCTTTTTCAACCTCAGCTGCTTTGTGCAGCACAGCTGCAGTTGAAAAAGCAGGAAAAAGGGGCTTTTCCATCCGTGCGTAGTGCTGCTCAGCTGTCCAGGAAGCTCAGCAAGTCGTAAATTGCCCACGTGCAACGCAGAGCAACAGAACCAGTAGTTATACCAGTTGGATTCCATCCCTGCCTCACTCGGCTGAAAACCTAATTACCCTAGTACTGTCTTATGTATAAGGATATTTATTTACCCATGTTGTATGG